TAGCCGATTTATTGGCCAAGAAGTTGGGCATCAATTGTGAGTATATATGTACATAGAGTATTCGTAGAATAGTGCATTTGAAGCACACCATGACATTTATGTATGTATGTTCCTTTATTATATGTATGTATGTATTTGTATAGCATGCACTTACATTCATATGCATTATGTGCTCCTGAAAGCAGTGCAATGAAAATCTTATTAACTGCAGTTGAGGTATATTTTATATTTATGTATGTATGTATGTATGTGCATTAGGCATATGACTTTTTAATTAATTTACTTATTTGTTAGGTTTTCATTTAAAATTCGAAAAAATAAATCTGAATCAGTGACATTTTTGTAGAAAAAATTTTAAAATTTAAAAGTTCATTGAAATACATATTTAAAAATTGTTTCAATTATAAAGGTGTTTCGAAAAAGAAAAATAGAGAGAAAATTAAGGGAATTTACAAATTGGAAAGTTTGATATCTCAAATACGACTTTAAAAAATAAATAAAAAAATCTGTAAGGCCTCAAAAAAACTAATTATTAGTCGTAGTGTAGTGCTTCCTATTGCAATTTTGTAATGAATTTCTTACTCCTCCAACATAGTATTTATATCTTGTTGATTAATGCATTCGATTTCACACAAAATTTCTTTTCTTTTTCATTAACTTAAAATTAAAAAAAAAAAAATTGATCCCAATGTTATCCCAATAAAGAACTAGACTGAAAAGTTTCGGAATGTGTGACAGTTAAAAAAAAAACACGAAAATCCATAATTTTTGATTAAAAATTTAAAATTTTATCAAAATCTTAAGTAAGGTTTTGAAAATTTTTAAATTTAATATTCCACAAGTCTTTTGCAAAATAAGAATTCACAAAGATGAATTTTTCACAATTTTCTTGGCATTAAAAAGTTTCGGATGTGTGACAGTTTAAAAAAAAATCACTAAAATCCATCATTTTCGATTGAAAATTGAAAATTTTATCAAAATTTTTACAAATTTTAGCAAGTATGGTTTTGAAAATTTTTAAATTTTATATGCCAAAAGTGTTTTGGAAAATAAGAATTCACAAAGAAGAAAGTTGTTTTCAAAATCGATATCTCGCAAATGTCTTGACAAGAAAATTAAATCACAAAGGTAGGCCTCCCTCCCTCCTCAGGAGATGCAAAATCCAAATAGGGTCTGATTTGGCGTAGACTACTTCATATGTGTATATGGGAAATTCCAAATTACCGAAAAAAATAAGTTTTGAAACCATTTTTTGATCATCGTATATATTATGCACATACATATGTATGTTTTTTTCAGTAAAATTCTTTTCTTTCCTTGTATAAAATTTTTACCAGTCCATAAAGGACCTCATCCTATCCTCATGGTACAGTTTATATAAAAAAGGCATATGCCTAATGTACAATGTGCTTGCCTGTACATCTGTACTTATAACTGCATAACTGACTCTCCTTGTGCTTATAATAAGATTTTATGCGCATTTTATTCGTTGAAAATGTGAATTATGTGCAAGTAGAGTTAAATTTCGATTGAGTATAATAGCTTTTTAAGGCCGCTGCGTTGAAGAAATTAAATCATTTGGGTATATTGCGTAGAAAAGAAGACGTTGAAATATGCTTGAATAAAAGTTCGTTGAGAAATTTATTGAGCTAAAAGCATGCACCTCAGTCAAAAAATTATATGTGCAATGTTTTAACTTCAGCTTGTAGAATTAAATGGAAAACTAATATTTAAAAATTCGGTAATATTTATTTATGATTATCGTTTTAGTCATTACTGAAAATAGTACTTTTAAATTCTTCTACAATGTTTAGATTATTTATAAAATGCTTAAAACGCATTGTCGTGCCATAGGTGGCGTGTTGTTTAGCGATTTATTCATTCAGCATAAGCGCGAGGGCCGTTTCAATATTTTTGTAAAATTTTTCTCGTAACAGAGAAATTAAAATATTTACACAATTTTCTGAAAATCATGCTTTCCCCAGTAGCTGACCTTTGGGTATTAATTTTGGACCACCCTTGGGGATTGTACAAGCAAAACTGTAGATTGTAAAAGAGGGAACATGAGATAAGAAGGTTGTGCCTACATATAATTCTTTGACTGAGGTACATATTAAAACAAAATGCTATGTATATATTTAAGCAGCTTGTCTTGCAGAGATGAAGGTGGAAAATTTATTCTGGGCAAAGTTTTTATTCTTTTAAATTTTAGTACATTTCGTATATAATTTTTTTAACAAACTCGAATTATATTTTCTCATTAATACTTGACAGTAGTTTAAACTTAAGTTGCATATAGTAAAATTTAAGTAACAAACTTGAGTTTATTTTTCCTGAGTTGACTCTCTAAACTATGTTCAAGCGTTATACTTTATGGCTTCATAATAGAGCCCCTTTTTTGATGGACCGCAAAATTCAAGTATTCCACTCTACTCAAGCATACCACAGCTCAGATCAGTTTTCATAGAAAAGGCACAGCTGGGCCAGCAAACCCACTTGTGGGGTAATCATGCAAATTTGTTAAATAAGTAGTTCTTCTTGATCGTTTATCCATTAGTTCGGTGCTGTCTGTCTGCTATCCTGTTTTGACTAAAACGCTGCATTGTAGTTTTAAACATCTCCTTTTCGAATACTCTAGCTTTCATATGCTTCCATGCTCGGTAAAAAAACCTGTTTTTCTGTTACTTGAAAAAAATTGCAGTGATAAATCACAATGTTTTAATAACTCGTTTGAAAATATTTCGCAAATGCCTTTCGTTTGCCACCCATATATCAATATTTAGTTTATCTTATCAATTTAATTTAATACAACTTTTCAAATAGAGGGAACCCTTCTAAAAATATTTTTTCCTCTAAGCCATCATATACCTCCTTAGTTGGATTCCTTTATATGCCTCCTCATTTAGAGATACACAAATTGTTTACGAGTTGGGCCTATGAAGACCCATCGCATAGCGTCGTGTCACCAAACTGCTTGATGGATTCCATGCATATCTCGTTACCATTTTTATTTAGCTTGTTGTTGTCTAACCACTGGTTAGTATCCTCAGATTGACTTAAGGAGTTGTCTTAATCGATGGAAATATTTTTAGCTTTTCGGTTATTATTTCAAAGCATTGTCCATTGTCGACTTTACGTAGTAGAATGAGCTTTGTAGCAAGGCTTTTCAGCGCGAATGACCACCCTATCATTAACGGAGATCCCTAGATTTTGTCATTGTGTCGCACGTATCAGTCTGGGTCTTATATGTACGTCTTTGTCTCAGGTCGTTATGATCTTAATACTATTTATTTTCCTAAAGCAGGGATTACACGATTTGTATGCACATTTTTACATTTGGCAGTCACAGAGTGGTGTTGGCTAGAAATTTTAATCGGGAATCAGTTCGGGCTCAATAACCACTTCCCAAAAAACACCACTCTCTAACAGAGAAAAAGGACAAATCTCTACAAATGTAGAAATCGTGCGATCGCTGCTTAAGAATGTAATAGTTAGGAGGCCGTCAGGAGTGCTGAAAATGTGTATTCCAGAGTTCTGGTTGAATGTCACGAGTGCGTAGTTTTCTGCGCGTAGCATGACTGCGGAGAAAAACATGATTTTTTTTTATTTGTTTTCTTATGAAATACCATGTAAGGCATTTATTATAACCCACCCTTGGTTGATCGATTTAATTTTATTTCGTATCAATTCTCGTTATTTCTCTTTACTAAAGAATTTATGGTAAATTTAAGAATACAAATTTGTGTAAGTTTAAAATTTAAGCAACTACAATTAAGTTTATAGTTTCTCTTTTTAAACAATATCTACCATTATTCCCCGATTTTTCGTAATTTCTTTGATACTTTCTACACTGAGTATTTCATAGCGCAGTTATTCAGCACACAGCCATTTAATTTGTATGCCTACGAACTTTTGCCAAAGTCCAATTTGAACTTACTCTACTTTTTCTTCTCTTACTTTGCATACACCACTGCATTTACGGCCACTACTTATGTTGTTGTTGCTGCTCCTTTGGCTGCCCCGTTCGATATTGCGCTGGCCGACCGTCTCACATGAATTGCTGCTACCCACACAGATGAATTGCGTCTGGTCAAGGATGGTACCTACGGTTCAGAGAATCCAACGGTGCGCGGTGGCTGGGATGGTATGGTCGGTGAACTGGTGCGACGGGTGAGTATAACTTCATACAAACACACATACGCTATAGTCGGACAACGCACGTGTTTGCTGCCACATTGGTTGCACACGAATTTATTCCGATTGCATGAACACTTTCATTTCGCAACGCATTCAAAATGTTTTCTTTATTATTGCTTTTTCTCTTCTTCTCCAAACTCCCTGCCGCGGGCCATCACCGCACATTAAACGACGACTGCTGCCGTGCTAACTTTATCTTTGGCAACGATTATCGTTTCGGTTATCGTTGGACGGTTTTATTGCTCGATGCGCCGAATTCGCAATGCGCCTACTACCGTGAAAACAAAAACAACCAAAAACTACAAATACAAAAACACAAACAATGAAATCGAACAACTTCATCGTCATTGGCATTGCTGTCGCATACGCGATATTTTATTGTACCAATGTGTGTCCAAGCAGGAAGCGGATATTGCAATCGCTGCCATGACTATTACCGCCGAACGGGAGCGTGTCATCGATTTCAGCAAACCATTCATGTCACTGGGCATTTCAATAATAATCAAGAAACCAGTGAAGCAGACGCCTGGTGTATTCAGTTTCATGGATCCTTTATCGCAGGAAATTTGGGTGAGTATGCGAATGTTCGTCGAGATTCGATGTAGGCTAAAAAAAAAAACAGAGCATCAAATAACTACATCTCTCTTAGAATCAACTACTTAATATCTGAGCGATAAGCTCATATTGAATTTGGTTGGGCTGC